CTCTCCTCTCCTCTTGCCCTGCCCACTCTCCTCTCCTCCCATCTGCTCTCCTCTCACCCCGCCAGCTCTCCCTCTGCCACTGAGCCTCCTCTGGCCCCGCCAGCCCTCCTCTCCTCTCGCCCAGCCAGCTCTCCTCTTGGTAACTCAGGAACCACAAGGCTCCTCTGCAAAACTGCTCTGCCCACCCGCTCCCGTAGGTGCACGGCAGGAGGCCTAAGTCACATGGAGGGGCCTTTCACAGCTGGGGGACTTTCACCCAGGTTGATGTCACAGTCCTCTGGAAATGCCAAAGAACAAGAGGCGCCTGTCCACACCCACAGATGGCTGTCCTGCCAACACAGTCTCTTCAGGGGGCTGTTCGCTTGGCATCTCAGCCTGCCTCTATATTTGACCCGCACGCGAACGGGGTTAGCTGTGGTCAGACTTGTCAGCCCGGAGAGTCCCCCTGGCTCAGACATTCACTTCAAGCTGCAGATGTGTCTGATCCAGGGGCCAGGCCAGAGAACTCATTGCAGGAGGAGTAACTGTAGTCCGAATTAGGGGCTTTAGTTCGAACTACCCAGCCCGTGCCGCGTGTAGCCACAGGCAGGAAGTTCGAACCTCCGGACATTTAAAAATGGCTGCGCCCAGGAACATGCAAATAAAGCCTGGGATATTTTAATCCCGGGCTTCATTTGCAAGTTCGAATGACTACATTAGCCACCCTGGTTCGAACTAGGGGGCTAGTGTAGACATACCCTTTCTCTCCACCAACTTCATTTCATCAGCTCGCAGCCTCACTCCCTTCCTGGAAGCTGTTCCTCTGCTGACGTGGGGCCATGCCACATCCCTCGCTCTGACGACCTTAGGGTTTTTCCACAGCCACCCGTCCCCGGGCTATCTGGGCACCTTCTGCTTAAAACAGATTAGCAAGAACCAAGTCCCTACTGAACTTCATGGACGCTTGGCCTCTTCCCCCTTTTACGAAATACAGTTGGCCTCCAAGGGAGCTGTGTGGCTGATGGGCTGGGTGGCGTGTTTGCTTTTGGGGAGGGGTGGACAGACGTCAGCCTGGCGAACCTTGTTCCCGTGACAAGCTTTGTTCAAACTTCTGTGGAACTCCTCGCCACAGGGTGTGGTGAAGGCTAGGACTTGAACAGGGTTCAAAAAAGAGCTAGATAGATTTATGGAGGTTTGGTCCATTGATGGCTATTAGCCAGGATGGGCAGGAATAGTGTCCCTAGCCTCTGTTTGTCTGGAAAAGGATGACAGGAGAGGGATCCTGTGATGATTCCCTGTTTCTGTTCATTCCTGGTGGTATTGGCCACTGTTGGCAGACAGGATACTTTGGTTTGACCCAATCTGGCCATTCTTATGTTCAGCTCCAACCTAAAGGCATGCTTCTGTCTCCTTTTAATAATGGAAATTGCCTATCTCCTCGAACTGGAAGGGACCTTGAAAGGTCATTGAGTCCAGTCCCCAGCCTTCTCAGCAGGACCAAGTACCATCCCTGATAAATTTTTGCCCCAAATGGCCTCTGCAAGGATTGAACTCACAACCCTGGGTTTAGCAGGCCAATGCTCAAACCACTGAGCTATCCCTCCCCCTCCTACTCATTGTCTGCCCTTGTCTCCCCCATGGAACACCTACCCACGTCAACGCAGAGAACCCACAGAAGAGGATCCACACTGAAGATGGGAAGTTGGTCCCAAGTCTGGCTCCCTTGTGGAGTAGAGCCACATTCTGCTTTGCTGCTCTATTGCTCCCTGCGTTCTCTCTGACTCAGCGTGGAGCTCGCTGACATCTTACCAGCTGCTAATGGCCCGCTGTGCGGCATCCTTATCTCCTGCACCCCTTCTGGCTGAATTGGCTCTGACTGTCTCTCTCCTCCCCCGGACCTCTTAGGCATCGTTTGCCTGATTTTCTCTAATCTGGCGTGTGCAATAGGCTGCGATTTGGCGGTAAAGTACTCACAGAAAGCCCCGGGTCTCCTTTCTCTCCTTTCAGGCCACCTGGACCATTTTCTCCCTGTTAAAGACACTTAGGTAATTACAGAGGTTCTGCAGATTAGGCAGCCAAAGCCTCCAACAGTAAATGCATCCTGAAAGTGAAAAGAACGGGGACGCGGGGGGGCGAACCCAAGGTTCAAACTCAGCGTTTTCCCGTAAATGTAAGAGACAGCAGAAAATAGCTCAGGCAACGGAAATTGCCACATTCATCCCGACGCAGAAGAGTAGGGGATGCATTAGCCTCCCTGATTCTGTGGGCTAGTCTGTGTTTGCCCCAAGTTGCAAAGGAGCTAAAATAACCCAGGGGCTGCTTTAACATACACTCTCTGTATGTGGTCCCTAAGGTTCCAGAGTCTGAGTGAGAATCTGTCTGGCAACAGTGGTCCCCTGCCAGCCCCTTCAGCAGACTCCTACCCCTGACGAGCCCTCAGTTGTATTCCAGATCTCCTCCTGCCAGGTGGATTCTCAGCCAGCCTGCTACGGACAAAGCCTGGCTCCAAAAGTTCTGGGGGTGGAGAGAGAATCTGACCCCCAAACTGTGCCTGTGCTATTTTATGCTCCTGCCAGATGGACGGGTTGCACCAGCCAGGCTTCCGGTGGCATTGTAGTTACAACCTCGGGAGACAACGCCACTGTCCTCACAGGGGACAACACCCGCAGGATGGCTGGCCATTTTTCTGAACCTGTGACGCCGAATGGGGGCGTAAGCACGGGAGCAAATTGCATCAGCCTCAAAGAAGGCCCGGAGCTAAACTCACTAGGGCACACCTGTGGCAGATAAAAGTGCTACCAGAAGTATCGCAAAGGAGGCGTCTACACTGCACCCTTAGCTCGAAATAAGACATGCAATTTGTGCTACGCAAGTTGCATATCGTATTTCAATATCTAAATAGGCGATTTCGAAATTTGGCACGTCTACACGGCGCCAAATTTAGAAATAAAACATTATTTTGAGACATCCCTTATCCCTCGTGGAACGAGGCTTACAGGGATGCTGAAATAGCACAGCCTCTACATTTTGCAATAGTGGATGTGTTCAAAAGACATGGGGTAACTATTTCGGGATATCTTTGGTACCCTGAAATAGCATTGCAGTGTAGACATACCCAATGTAGCAAAGATTTAATTCTGGCTGAGAAGAGAGTACAAAGGGGGATTTCAGAATCGATCAGCCTTTGTACTTTGCCGGTGTACCCAATTCCTGGTCAGACTAACAAGCGCAAATGATTTACGCTGCTTGTCTCTTGCCTCGTTTTGCCTTCCATTAGGATAATTTCGTTACTTGCGTATGGGCAACTTTATTCAGTTGACTTGCTGGCAGGAAAACCTGAAACTCTTCAGTTCTTGCGTCTGTTGTTTTTGTTTTTCTTAGGTGTAATTTCCTGTAGCTAGCAAACCAAGAGAGAGCAAGGACGTTCAAAACCAGGAGTCTAAAGGCAGGCAGATTCCATAGTCAGCCCTCCAAATCAATGGCCTGATTTTCTCTGGTGTGAGCAATCAGTAACTCGTGCGGTGGTCTGGCCTCCAGCACATCAGACCACCTATTTAGAGACCACAACACAGACTCAGAAGCATCCCTTAATGCTCCCACTTTTGACCTGGTTGGCCCAGGCTTTTCCAGCTAGATGAGTTGGGTGACGTGAGCCCTGCTAGCGAGCCGAGCGTTCTAGAATCCACGGTGGAGGTAGGGTCGCCTTGTTTAATTGGACGACACCACCTGCAACAGCCAATGAAAAGAGGGAAGCTGTCGAGGAAAGCTGGCCAAAGAAGAGTTACAAACATGGGTGGCGGACAGGGATGGGGCATTGCCCGTGCTTAAAACCGACAGAATCTAGCCAGGAAATCCCAGATCACTGTTACAAACATGGGTGGTGGACAGGGATGGAGCATTGCCAGTGCCTAAAACCGACAGAATCTAGCCAGGAAATCCCAGATCACTGACCCTGTGGTGTGTCCACATTGGCGAGGAGGTGTCATTTCCAGCTCAGACAGACAAACCCACGCTGGCTGTGATGGAGCTAGCATGCTAACAAGAGTGGTGGGAATGGTGGGACAGGCTAGCCAAGGGTGGGCAAAATCAGGCTGGGGGTGGGGGCTGGATCTGGCCCACGAAACATTTCTCTCTGGCTCACCCAGCTGATTAGCACAGGTGCATACTCACAGCCGGCAGCCTGTGCTCACCTTGCTCCGTCCTGCAGCCAAGCTGCGCCCAGGAGTCTCCTGCTCTCTGTGCAGAGGGGCAGGGGGTGAAGGGGAGCAGGGAGGGCTGAAGTAAGAGTGTCCCCCTGTCCCAGTACCACATCTCCGCCGAAGGGGAGTAGGGAGGGCTGAAGTCGGAGTGTCCCCCTGTCCCAGTACCACATCTCCGCAGAGCAGAGGTCAGGGAGAGGGAGACACAGCAGAGCTGCTCCAGTATGAAGCATGGACGGTGAGTGACTCAGAGGAGTGCCTGTCTTAAGAGGCAGTGCGTGCGCACACACACAGACAGACACAGACACACACACACACTTCCTCCCCATGCCCTAGCTCTGCAGAGTGGGGGAGCAGGTCAGCTTTCCCTGTCTTAAAGAGACAGTGCTTGGCTTCTCTCAGAAATTTCCCCCCAGCAGCAGCCAGCTCACACCCTCTGTGTCACTGTCACACCCCCCCCAGTCTGTGCCACGCATGCACACGCACACATGCTCTTCTGTCTCTGCCACACACACTCAATTTGTGTCATAAAGTCTGTCTCAAAGACACAGTGTGTCTCTTTTCCATCCACACACTTTCTGTCTCAATAGCCCCCAGCCCCACCCCTTTAGCCCGAGGCCCCGCCCCTTCCAGAGGGGGCGGAGCCTGCCTGTGACCATGTACCAAATTCATGAAGTGGCCCCCCTGTGAAAATGACTGCCCACCTCTGGGCTCGCCACTTGCGTACTGACCTTGCTCAGTCCAAGGCCTGTTATTACCCGTTATCTGTGTTACCATAGCACCGAGGAGCCCTGGTCACAGACTGGGACGTCCTTGTGCCAGGCGCTGTACAAACCCAGACCCCCAAAACACTCCCTCCCCGTCAGCACCATGCCGCAGCTCCAGTGTCGTTTTCTGAGCTCACGGCGCAGCTCGTCAGACTCACCTTTTCTCCTTTGTGGCCTGGAGAGCCGGGAGGACCCCTGAGGCAGAGCTGAGGCCTTCCTCTCCTGCCTCTTGCACCCTAAAAAATACAGCAGAAAGGGTCATTCTATTCTGGCCGCCTCCCACAGATACTCTTCAGTTCTTTGGGTCCCCCTACTTCCCCAAATCCTCTTCGTGAAACAGCAAGACTCCAGCCACGAACGGCAACGTGGGGCAAACGTCTGGCGTTGAGGTGCTCCCCGAATTCGTCCCCTTTCTCCGAACTTATCTGTTTATGCTTCAGCCCCAGTGCCTGCCGCATCCTCTGCACGTGGGAACCTCAGGGGACATGCAGCTGAGTGTTGCTTCAGCCCTCTATACTCTCAAGGAATCAGCCGCCCCCCCTCGCCTCTTGCCCCTCCCCCTGTCCTTGGGGGGTTCTCCATTGGGAACCCCATATCTGCCCTCCCTCCAGCGGGGCCCAACACCAAGCTCTCGCTTTCTTTCCCAAGTCTGGCTGCGAGGAGTTTGCAGAGTCTTGTCTCCGGTGGGAAAAGCCACCTGCTGTCACACACAGAGGCAGCAGCTCCCTCCGCCCCCCTTCTGTCTCCTTTCTGCCACTATTTTCAGAGCCACCATCTCCACGGGAGCTAAAGGGATCCTGGGGCTTGACGGCTGCGGCTTCCTCCCACGCGGGCACCTGCTGGGCCTTGGTGCTGTTCCTGAGGCCTGTATTTTGTAATTGAGGGGAAACACAGGGAGTCGTGTGGGCGGGGAAGGCGGCTTCTCAGGGACTCTCTTTAATCAGTGCCAAAGCTAATGATCCTTCCCACAGCTCTTCGGGGTTTGTGTGTGTGCGTGTCTCTTGTACAGCTAATGCAAAAGGCCCAGCCTGTTGAAACAAAGGAGGGTCTCTCTTCCTCTCACTTCCCTCTGCCCCCTCGGACTTTTTTAAACAGTTTTCATCCCCAGTGAGGGAGGAAAGGGGAACAGGGCGGAGCGTGGAAAGGTCCCAAGAAGTGGGGGCCCCACCTCCTGCTCCGCCCCTTACCTAGGGCCCGCCCCTACTCCGCCTCCTTCCCTGTGGCCCCACCCTCAGGCTGCCTCTTCTCCCGGGCCCTGTCCTTGTTCCACACCTGCCCCCAAGACCCGCCCCTGCTCCGCCTCCTTCCCTGTGGTCCCACCCTCAGGCTGAGGCCCCGCCCCTCCCGGGCCCTGTCCTTGTTCCCCACCTCCCCCCAAGCTCCTCCCCTGCTCCGCCTCCTCCCCTGAGGCCCCGCCCCCACACTCTGCCTCTTCTCCCGGGCCCTGTCCTTGTTCTGTCTCTTCTGCTGAGCCCCTGCGTCCACTACATCTCTTCCCACAAAGTCCTACCCTTGCCTCACCTCTCCCTGTTCCCTGCCTCTGCTCAGCCTCTTCTCCACCAAGGCACCTCCCCCCAAGCTCCTCCCCTGCTCCGCCTCCTCCCCTGAGGCCCCGCCCCCACACTCTGCCTCTTCTCCCGGGCCCTGTCCTTGTTCTGTCTCTTCTGCTGAGCCCCTGCGTCCACTACATCTCTTCCCACAAAGTCCTACCCTTGCCTCACCTCTCCCTGTTCCCTGCCTCTGCTCAGCCTCTTCTCCACCAAGGCACGACCCACTGCTTGTTCATCTCCATTCCCTCTCCGCTCTAGGGTTGCCAGATGGTTTCAACAAAAATACCGGACACACTTGACATTACATCACAATCGACATTACATCTTAGTTAGAAAATACCAGCTATTTATATTTTCTCATTTCTATTTTCTCAGTTTGTTTCCCGAACAGAAAGCTTAAATACTTGACTGTCCGGTTCAAAACCGGACACCTGGCAACCCTACTCAGCTCTCGCTCGTCCTTATAGTACAAAAAAATTCAGAGGCCATAGAGGGCCTTCCCCTCATGTTAAAAGTGATGGGGTCATGGTTCCCCGCTCCCCTGCTCTGGCACTCCTGAAACAGGGTCTGCGATGACTGCCTGTGGCACTCGCTCTCTGTCCACTGGGAGCAAGATTCGGCCCTGTGAGCATGCCAAAGCTAACTGCCCTGCCTCCTATTGCAGAAAAGAAGTTCTAACAAACATTAGGATAACCCCACTGGCCCAGTGTTACTCCCGCTATAAATTCCTCTTCTCGGGGGCTTAGAACTTGGCTGTGCACTTTGACCTGGGCTGGATCTTCACAGATAAAACTGAGTGTGGATTTTAGCAAAGGAGAGCGAAAAAGGAAGTTACTCTTCCTAGGCCAGCTGTCTCCTGCTGCGGCACAGAGGTCAGTTCCTGCATCGTGCTCTTCCATAGCAGTGGGATGCTTGCGACAGGAAAGGATGCTAGAAACCCATCTGTGGTACCAAAGTGACTTCGGCAAAGGAAGACCTGTTACTTTGTTTGAGCTTCTGCATCGTGGGCCATGTTTTGTCTAGCTCCGGCTATCTCCAAGTACATCACTGAGCGATTAAACCTGACATTGACCATGATAAATGCCAGCTGGAACGAGTCGTGTTTCCACTATTTGTCCTCGTCTAGTGGTGTCCTCTCTTGGGGATTGATTCCCTGCCAGGCACCTTGTGCCAACCCCTGTGAGCTGTGCCAACCCCTGTGAGCTGTGCCAAAGTGAGCATAAACCACGACCTGCATTTTCTATAACACTCACTTTGTCCAGATGTAACGATGAGACACAGGGCAGATCTGGCTGCCGATCCATGCGCGGTGCACAACAGACACATTCACTGCTTTTGTGTGGTCCAATTTGAAGAGGTGAAAGTCACGAGAGGCTGATCTTGTGGGCGATTTTTGCTTGTTTCAAACAGGGGATTTGGAAGTGCTCTTTGTATCCCATGCGCAAACAGAAGCCACAGGGGAACCTCAGATGCAGCGTCAATTATATCCTTCGGTCATTTGGAGGAATTTAGAACTTGGAAATTATGGGCTCTAGATTCATGAAGGAAATGGAACGTTTGAAGTCCAAGCTCAGTTTGACCCTGATGCAAGAAGACCCAGGATGCTCTGTGTCCCGCTCTTCTGTCCGTCTGCTCTGGGCCATCCCAGGAAGTGGGGTTTTGAATGACTTCCATAGGACAACCTCTATTGTTTGTATAGCACTGATGCTGTATTATTGGATCAGTTATACCAGCTCTTCACATCAAAACTCTGCATCTCTCTAGAGGGTGGTATTCAGTGTATGATACTTTAGTCCTATATTTATTATCTGGTCATCTGATGGTTCCCTCTTCTGTTCATTCCCTCTGATGAGGCCGCATCTGGAGTATTCTGTCGAGTTTTGGACCTTCCACTACAGAAAGAATGTGGGCAAACTGGACAGAGTCGAGTGGACGGCACGGACATGATGAGGGGGCTGGAGCGCATGACCTATGAGGAGACACTGAGGGATTTGGGTTTGTGTAGCCTGTAGAAGAGAAGAGTGAGGGGGGATTTGAGAGCAGCCTTCAACTCCCTGAAGGGGGGTTCCAACAAGGCTGGAGAGAGGCTGTTCTCAGGGGTGACAGATGACAGAACAAGGAGCAACGGTCTCAAATTGCAGTGGGGGAGGATTAGGTTGGATTTCAGGACAAACTATTTCCCTAGGAGGGTGGGGAAGCACTGGGATGGGTTCCCTAGGGAGGGGCTGGAATCTCCATCCCTCGAGGTTTTTAAGGCCAAGCTGGACAAAACCCTGGCTGGAATGATTCAATCATAGAATCACAGAACACTAGGACTGGAAGGGACTTCGAGAGGTCACCAAGCCCAGTCCCCCTGCCCTCACGGCAGGACCAAGCGCCGTCTAGATCAGTGGTTCCCAAACTTTTCAGCATCATGCCCCCTTTTTGATTTTTGAGAAACCCTCCCCCCGCACGGCCCCCCTCCCCC